GTTCTATGTGGCCACTCTCCAAGGTCGCTCCTCCATCCACGAGATGCATCTTGCAAACAGCATGAAAGTGTAGCCCATTCATGAAGCTCATATCAAGATGTGGTGCAAAGGGAATGAGTTCACCTTAGGAAGGTTCCCAAAACACTTGTTGGCAAGTATAATGTATGTCTTCTCGCGGGCAACATGTCTCATGACGGCATCGCCTTCTGATTCCTTTGAAATGAGCAAACGGAACATAAACTTGGAAACACAAAGGTGGTAAGCATGAACACGGTGTCCATCATGCATGTGGTGGTTCACCCAACAAGTGTTGTCATCATGCTTATCATAAGGTGTGAGAAAGAAAGGTTTCATGGCATATGAGTATGTGAAGTGAGCACAACTAAAGACATCATGCTTGTTATAGGTGTGAGAAAGAAAGGTTTCAACTTATCTCTATTGCATAGCCCAAGGGGCATATATGCTGCCATGGTTTGAGGGAAAGTCCCATGCTCAACTATCTCGTCACGTCACCAAGGATGCAAGCCAAATGGTGTGGCTCATAATCATTCGAGCAAAGTTACAAAGGAAATACTCCCTCCGTTCACTTTTGTAAGGCGCGGAAGGAGATTTCCGACAGCCCCCAAAAATCGCTAATGGACAACAATACCCTTCGATCAATTTGAAATTCAAAAACCATCGGGATCGCTTCGCCAAGTGCGTCGCCGCACACCTCGCCGCCCAGCTTCTCCCTGCCCACCTCGCCGCCCAGCTTCTCCCTGCCCACCTCGCCCAGATTCTCCTCGCCAGGATCTCCTCCCTTCCCACCTCGCCCAGATTCTCCTCCGCCCAGGATCTCCTCCTCCCTGCCCAGCTTCCTGCTCATCCAGGAACCTCGCTGCCGGCCCCAGGAGGGCACCTCGCCGGCCGCCGGCCCCAGCAACACTTCGCCGGCAAGCTTAAGCTCGCCCAGAACCACCTCCCTTCTTCCCCGTGTCGCCAGAAGGTCCAGCTCGCCGGGGGCCAGGGGAGAAGATCAGGAGCTCCTCTCATGCGTGACCACCTCCAGGCTCGGTGCTCCTTGCCGGCTTGTCCCCTGGCAACAGTAGCAGATCCTCAACTGTAGCTCCTTCCCTTCGATAGCAGATCCTCAACAGAAGAAACAACAACAGATCATTGGCCCTCAATAGAAGCAACAGCAGCAGATCCTCAACATCGACAGTAGCAAATCACTGGCCCTCAACAGAAGCAACGGCAGCAGATCCTCAATAGCAATAGCAGCAAATCGTTGGCCCAATTGCAAGCATGGTAGTCCCAGACCTCATACTCCAAACTTAATTTTGATGGAGTATCATGATTGGCATGCGTTTCCTCTAAATTTGTTGCACATATCATGCATGCTTATCTACTCATGGTACTGTATATATCATGTATGCATGTACAGTTGTACAGTTGGTCACAACTCGATTGTAGGTGTCGATCAGTGCATGCTATGCGCGTGTGGGAGGCCGGCATGTCACTGCCGTTGTAGTACTACGAGCCACACCATTTGAGAGATCCCTCCATCCATCATGCTTGTGAATCTGATGCTCTGAATTATACCACTGACCAGATGCATTTAACTGAAGGTGAGGTGAGAAGAGCAGAATACAGACTACTCCAGAGTACAGAGGATGAACCAGATGCATTTAACTGAAGCGGCTACAGTAAATCCTCACCTCGGAGACGAGCTTCCTGCTCTGCTCTGTGATGGTTGTAGGCCTTGAAGAAGGGCCCATCCACCCCTCCCCCTCCCAGCCCCCCGCCGTTGATGCTGAGGTGGTAAAGTAACCAA